CAGTCTTGCATCAGCTTGAGCAGAATATGAAGGATGAGTAGAAAAAAGTGACAAAGCTTTACGTGTCAAAAGGGAAAACTCACCAAGGAGAAAAGCAGTTCTGTAATCTGTTCCACTATGTGTTATCTGGAAACGGTTGATTAGTCTGCAGCTTCCCCTCTCTACCTTTTTGAAAAAAGTAGTGAACACAGTTCATACAGTTACCAAACTACAGCTTAACATTATTTTCCTCTAGCTATCTCTCCTATAATGACTGAAAAGAATTAAGCACGTTATCTGAAAACACATGAAAACAAGATTTTGTGAAATTTAAAAAAGGATAATGAAATAAAAAAAACATCAACAAGACAAGCATTACAACAAATGTAACATTAATGTGTGTTTTGGATGCTAATTCCAAACGGGATTAACTATCAGCTGCTACCTAAAGGGGTGGTCCTACTCTCTTCATCCAAATCCCGGCTGCATGCTCCTGCAACATTTTTTGTGTCACAGTTGGCAACTGTGTGGCTATAGGATGAGGTGGTTCAGTGAACTGAAATGACGGAAAACTAATCCTCCAGTAAGAAAACCAGAGAAACTTCACAAATAAATCGCCTTCTGCTGGATCAAGTCAACAAACTAATTCATTCTCACTGAAGAATCACTTACTCCATTGTAACCCAAAAGGAAAGGAACATGTACCTGGAACTAGAATCACAGAATCACAGAATGTTCGGGCTTGGAAGGGACCTCTGTGGGTCATCTAGTCCAACCCTCCTGCCGAAGCAGGGTCACCTACAGCAGGCTGCCAGAGGACTGCATCCAGACGGGTCTTGAATATCTCCAGAGAGGGCGAATCCACAACCCCTCTGGGTAATGCTTGTCTTGCTCCATCACCCTCAGAGGGAAGAAGTTCTTCCTCATGTTCAGACAGAACTTCCTGTGCTTCAGTTTGTGCCCATTGCCCCTTGTCCTGTCGCTGGGCACCACTGAATAGAGTCTGGCCCCATCCTCCTGACACCCACCCTGAGATATTTATAAGCATTTATAAGGTCCCCTCTCAGCCTTCTCTTCTTCAGGGGATGTGGACTGACCTTTTCAGTAGTAGCCCACCATTACAGCAGTTTAACTGTGATATTTTTTATATATATACATATATATGTACATACACAGAGTTCTATGCCAAGATTAGCACTTACACAGTGTGGATTGTGCAATTGTATTTCATAGCGTTGCCTTCTTCCCTTACCCAATCTGATCTCATTTAACAATAAATAGCCTTTAAAGTATTTAAGATAACTAAATTCCAGATAAAGTCTTCTACTAATCTTTACAAATTGCTGCTATCTGAAAAAAATTTTCATTCTCCCTTCTAATAGACACACTATTCCAGCAGCATATACTCTAATGTTAAGTCTCGTGTTAATTACAGCTAAGTGTACATGTTTTCATGAAAGAACCAGAAGCCTCTTCCCAGCATAATCAAAATCCAAGCAAATCATGTCATTTATGCTCTTACGAGTTTCAAGAAAGAGAATTCTCTAATGTACCTGAAGTATGTCATAATGATACAATTTATAAAATCAGACATGTATGAATATGATGAAATAGTTTGCTTTTATTTCTCTGTTGGGGATTTAAAAAGCACGGGGCATATCTTTAGCACTTTTCTTCTCCTTGTGTACCTATGCGGTTTTTTTTGTTTGGTTGTTTTTTTAAGAGTAATATCCTGTTTTGAAAAGAATCTTTATTTTTGTATAATACTCTCCACAACTTAACAATGCTCAGTCAGTGGAAACCCTGAGATCTTTTTACTCAAGACAGGATCTACTGCTCCCCACTTTCTTTTCTGGTTTCACATGAACAGTAATTTCAGATTTCCACTTTAATATGA